TTTTAGGAACTTAAAAATAGAACTAAAAAGTGTGGTTGCGCATGAGCGATTACTTTCTTAAAAGGTCAGAGATTAAAAACTTGTTAAATGTTACCAAAGTGTAAATTGTTTTCATCTGTTTAACAGCGTTAAATGAAAAAAAAAAAAAAAGACTTATTTTTGTTGATGTCTTATCTCAGCTAAATTGCATATTGTCAATTGCTTGTCTTGTCTTACGCTAATGCCGGGAGACTGTTGGGTTCATGCATATTACTCACGTCTGTATTTGCTCAAACTGAATGATTCAGTTACTCACTCATAAAGACAGTGTCTGCATCCGAATATGCATACTTCCGTAATATACAGTAGGCAAAAAAAGTCAAAGAGTTGTTGGCAAAAAGTCCCCGCATGATTCTGGCAAGTTTCTAAAGTGCACATCTAAAAGTGGACACTTAACTATCCCATGACACCACAGGAGAGAATTTGTGGCTGGCACAATGGCACGTGGCCGCATCACCACCTCGGGTGTGCATTATGTTCTAATAATTCAACGGCCCATCGTCAATTATTCATTATATTATTTAAAAATTACACTAGTGAATGAGTCTGATAAGACAATATGATAGCAACCTGATATGTGTATATACTAGGTATACCTTACCTACCTCCCACACACACATCAAACACTTATATATAAGGTCTACAGCAGCACAGACGTTCCCCATCCTGGGTTCTAAACCTGCCTGGGAGGCTTGTGGCTTTGGACCAAGAATGATATTATCCTTGACTTTTCATCAGGATGTGTTCATCAAGCTCTCAGCACCCAACATGGGTGAGAGAAAGAGAGAGGAGGTTAAGACCGAGACAGAAAATACAGACAGAGGGAGTACAGCAGCAGGCCAACTGCTGATGATTATCAGATTTTTTTTTTCTGCTCATATAGTGTGTTCGAGACTGTGTAATGGGAGCTTTTTGCTTTGGATTTTTACACAGCAGGAGAAGGTGGTGGTAACTGATCGGACCAGATATATCAAACTGCTGCCAATCATCCTTATGTGCCACAATCTTTTATGGTTTTTATGTATTTGATGTATTGCTACTAGTTGCTTATAATGCTATCTGTAAATCACATAATGGCAGCATGTCTAAATGTGCTCCATGTAATGTTATATTGAAGTTCCTTTGTTCTCCTGAAATCTAAAATAAACCCTGCGCTGTCAGCATGCACAAAAGATTCTTAATATGAGGTCACGATGCGTCCAACCTCGATACACCAACCGCACGAATAAGCAGCCACTTCAAAAAAGGAACAGTATTACCCCTGAAAACAGTGCAACCTGAAAAGATAACAGCGTGCCAAAACACAGAGCCAGGCGACCCGGTAGATTACTAAACAAAACACAACATGCATACTTCACAGGCATTGATGTATTTTAGGAAACCGTCTTTAAAAGAAAAACGCTGCTTGAGATAGAAAGGTGAGGTGGGAAAAAATGAACCAACAGCTCAACACACAATTATTCTTCAAGACATTGTGTTTGCCAGCTTGAAAGACACTAGTGCCATTCAGACTGGACACCGTAATGGCCTTAAGTATGTGGGGAAGTGTGGAAAAGCTGCTGAGAGTATACATACTGTGGCTGGTGCTTTAAATGTTTAAGGTAATTTGAAAAACACTGATTGAATCACTTTTATCTAAATGTGCTCCATGTAATGTTATATTGAAGTTCCTTTGTTCTCCTGAAATCTAAAATAAACCCTGCGCTGTCAGCATGCACAAAAGATTCTTAATATGAGGTCACGATGCGTCCAACCTCGATACACCAACCGCACGAATAAGCAGCCACTTCAAAAAAGGAACAGTATTACCTCTGAAAACAGTGCAACCTGAAAAGATAACAGCGTGCCAAAACACAGAGCCAGGCGACCCGGTAGATTACTAAACAAAACACAACATGCATACTTCACAGGCATTGATGTATTTTAGGAAACCGTCTTTAAAAGAAAAACGCTGCTTGAGATAGAAAGGTGAGGTGGGAAAAAATGAACCAACAGCTCAACACACAATTATTCTTCAAGACATTGTGTTTGCCAGCTTGAAAGACACTAGTGCCATTCAGACTGGACACCGTAATGGCCTTAAGTATGTGGGGAAGTGTGGAAAAGCTGCTGAGAGTATACATACTGTGGCTGGTGCTTTAAATGTTTAAGGTAATTTGAAAAACACTGATTGAATCACTTTTAACAATCTCTAATGGGTGTAATTGTTCAACAGTTTATATTTTCCACAAGGCCCAATGATTTTAACAAATCTTGTCTGTGGCTTTCTTTAAGTGGCCCCAACAGTACCTTCAGTGGCTGTTCAGCTCCTATTTAAGGCTCGTGGCCGGTGTGAAAATGCTGGTTTAAATGAGGGACAGACTGTATTAATGATACCACAAAAGGGATTTGAGATTTTAATGAGAAGACATGTTGACAACCGAGGTAATGTCAGGAAATTACAACTACGGCAAAAGAACTACTGCGTTTAATTTAGAGCAGTTCCATTACTCTTCGGTTCGCCATGTTGGAAACAGTGAGAAACATGGTTGGATTTCGTCTAGCCCTAACACATCCTGAAAGCTCCAGCGGTGTGGCATTTAGTTGAATAAAGCATCTTAGTTTTCCATCAAACTTGTGTCTATGCTGTAAGTGTGGTTTTGGTTTGTTCTTCATAAAAACTTAATTGTTGTTTTACGCAGATGCTGTTGCGGTAACTTGGCGAATAAAACACAAATATGTTGCTCCAGCAGAAAAGGAAATAAAACAGTAATGAAGAACACTTGGGTTCATTGCTTACAGGTTTAGTAAAAGATTTTCTGTCAGATTTTCTCTTTGCAAGCCAACCTGCCTCTTTAACTTTAAAATAAAGGTTCCAAAAGGGGGTTTCGCAGCGATTCAACATTAGAACAATTTTGGGTTCCGCAAAGAATCGTACAATGAACAGTTCTTAAAAGAACCATTTTTTCTTAGTGTGAACAACGTTTTAATCCAGAACCTTTTTTCTATAAATAGAATGTTTTGTGCAAAGGAAAGGTTCCATGGATGTTAAAGGGTGGGTGTTTCTAGAACCATTCATGCCAATAAAGAACCTTTATTTTTAAGAGTGTGCTGTCAAAGTATAGGTAGTTAGAGATACCATCGACAGGTCTTTCCAAGGACAAACACAAAAGCTCTTCGGTTCTCTCCCGAGTTTTTCCTTGCCCACTGATGCCCCATGGAGCTCCCTTGCGACAACTTGGTACAAATAAACCTGACTAGATCTTAAATAAGACACTTGGTCTGGCAGACACCCAAAGCACCAGGGCAGTTTACTGGTGAAGTGCATTTAAGGGTCATTACACTTTCAGCAAGGCTTCACAGCGCACATTATCTCTCCCTCTGACCACACCACAGCAGTGGGCATCCCACAAAATGAAGTACACCACAAAGTAATGTGACTACCTGGCCAGGGGCATGTGGTTACCCTGGAGATGCTACTGTTAGAGTAAACCTGTGGGCACCTACATGTGGTAAGCTCCTGGTAGACGAGACGGTAAGAGAAAAGACATCATTCCAGTGGTCGAGCAGCACTGTCTTTTTCTCTCCAAGGACTGCCTTCACGAGGGGAATGAGTCACCCGGCTGATGTCCGGGAGTGTTTGTTCATTAAATAGGTAAAAATACACCCAAATAAAAGGAACACGCCAATTATGCGGGGCTTAAAGAGCGCACATGTGCCTCCGAGTTTAGACACTTCACCTCCAAACACTACCCTGGATAAACCCGAAAGACACAGTCAATGGCATTCAGTACGACGCGTAAATCGTGTAATTTGGGAAAATGAGAGGGTACCAGAATCACATCGATGCTCGCGAGGGAACTCACGCGAGCAGCGTTTCCTCAGCACGCTACGTCTCCCGATAAAGCATCGCACATGGCGTTGATATAATTCATTTGTTTATATATTGGTTTATAGAGGTTCTTAAGCGAACTGGAATAAAAGTAATTGTAGACTTCGGTAACCATGTCTGGAAAAGAATTCGGTTGTTCAATGAGGTGATTCCGCTCTCAAAATGTTAAGACAATAAAAATGAGGTCTCGAGGGATTTTCTGTCCTCGAGCGGTAAGCGTTCTTGGTGAACGAGAGGAACCCACGTTATTACAGGGAAACCAACTTTATTGTTAAACGATAGCATGCGATTTGATATTATGTATGATATGAAATGGAACTTAGATTACATTAGGATAGTCAGAACACGTATTTTGACGATAACCAATCACGATATCTAGAACAGATAAGTATCTTTATCAGGGCCCATATAGCAAAAACGTATTTTATTTTAGTGGGGTAGCCTATATGATGTAACAGGATGTTACTTGACATGAATTTACTTATTGTATGTAGCCTAAGTAGTGGATTTATAAACTAATGTGTATGCTAATATGGAATCAGTATAACATATAACAGCTTAACCTATATCAAAATAACAGAGTTACAGACAAATAAAAAAAAAAGATAAATTCTGGTACACGTCTATAATACATTTATGGCATTGTGCTTCTTAACATTAGTATATTAGTCTCTTCTCCTCACGCCTAAATCTAAATGACTTATTTCCCCACTTGACTGCAATTTATCCATTCATTTGTCAAAATTGTGACTGTTTTGCACATCAGACTCAGGTGAAGCTGCTTCTGATAAACTGCGTCCAATGACACCAACTCTGGCTGATTTTAGTAACTCTATAGGATACAACTCTCATGCAGTCGGGTGATGGACGCGTTCCAGACGTGAACCCACACAAGGGAATACACTTGCACTGGATGTCTCCCGGTAGCCTCCCCCTGCAGGCCGGCGAAACCGGCATAAAACAATTACTGTATGTTCGCCGTCTGAGCCGCTTAGATGGGAAACACGAGACGACTCGTGTATTCATGTTCCCGGGCGCGCCTGAATAAAGCACAGAGGCGAAAGCGGTTCGTGTGGTTTGCGCACAGGATCTTAGAGCGGAGAACATGTGAGAGAGGAATGGAAAACTGGAAACTGGATTACACTTTACAGAAAGTCGCAAAAGGGGTTACGTTCAGGTACGTCCATTCAGCGTACATTTTACAACTGTTTTCAGATATGACTTATTAATATTTTCCCTCAGTAAGTCAAAATTAATTGAACTATATGACAGGGATGTCACAGTTTTTGGTTCATTTCCATCGCGCTCTATGGAAGGTCCCCGAATGTTAACTTTTTTTTTCATAAATATTTGTTTCTCTCTCATAAGAATGTAGGCCTAAATAAATATGTAAAAATAGATAAGTACGGTTAAAAAAATGTCACATCAAAAGAAGTAGATGATAAAAGTTTTTTTCTAGCTACATGTAAAATCTATACACGTTCTGTTCTAGTCTTGTGAAATAAGCTATTTGTGTGTTACTGACTGGGATTATAGACCTCCCTGTGTCAAATACGCATCATTCATTTTGAATACTTGATGTTTTGCAAGTTTGCATGAATAAGCTGTACAAGTTTCAAACAAATCAGAGTCATCAGTTCCCTCAAATATTCCTCACTCGCACTCAGACTCACGTGCTTAATGAGTTCTAAGTGTTTTGTTTTGACTGAAATTATCTTCTTTACGCATTTTTTACATTGACATTAAAACCGTCTTTACCTACTGAAAATGAAGTTTTTCTGGAAAGTATGTCTTGGGAGAACTCACCGATATAGTGAACACAAAAAGGTCCATCATCTTTTTCTGTTTCACAGGATTTTGACAAGGCGCAGCGGCTCCGTTGAGTAGGACATCCCCACGGCGGCCAAGGCGCTTTCAGCGGACACAGGGGGAAAGGACTAATATACCAAAGATGAACACAATTGTGTTTAATAAGTTAAGCAGCCAGGTTTTATTCGAGGAGAAGGCAAATGAAGTGGAAAGAAGCAGTCGAAATTATTTAGAGGTGATAGATGGACAGCATCCGGACCTGCTCGCCAGCAGCCCAGTCATCAAAGACAGCTCCGCTATCCGGCACAGCAGATCCGGGTATGTCACAAACTTCAGGGTCTTTTATAAAATGCACTGCAGGTTCATTGACATGTTTCCTACCTAAAAAAATAAATAAATACATTTATAATACCCCAAAAATAAAGCAGATGTACTGTAAAATACTTTCATCATATTTCAAGTGAAATATTTGTTTCCATAAATTGAACTCGATTTTCTTCATCAGTAAACTCACTCGAAATGGCCTAAAAATAGAACGTATTTATCACTGCAGGTTGTCACATTTTAAAGTTTTAAAGGATGCATTTTTTCACAATTGATGACAACTGCTTTACACATCATTTATTTTTCATGACGGAATAATTATTCTGATTAGATAGCCTACTTTGCAGAACAAAAACGGAATCCGCATATAATGATAGCTGTGTTCATTTGAACGCTGTTAATGCTTTTAACCGCGTGACAGCACGGAGAACCTTATTTACGATAAACATCAAGTTGTTCAATTTCAGAGCCAACGATGAAAAGCAGTGGCTCGTCCAACTGTTTGACTTTTCATAGTCTTTGTGTTTTCTTTCCATAGATTTGCGCTCAGTTGTGGTTAGAGCATATGGTTTGAATTCACAGCCTGTTCGCCTTCTTATCTAGGATACGTTGAGGTTTCAAAAAGAGAATTGCAGGAGATTAATATTCACAATTCAATTAAGTCGCTGTCGATGGTGCTGAATTAGCAGGGGCTTGTCGTTCGGGTACATGAGGTCATTCGTGTTCGGTAGCAAATTTAAAACACGTCCAGGTCTGTTTCTAATAAATAAACATTTCCTTCAACTGTATGTGTGGTCCAGTCAATCACGAATATTGTTGTAGGGCTCAAGAAGAAACCATGTCATCCCTTATTTGCCCTCCGAACCCAGCGCGTTCAGCCTCACCGCCCCAAGCTGTTTACCCCAACCTGTTTTTTATTTGTAGACAACACAGTGCTTCATTATACGACTGCGATACACAGCAACACCGAACCTAAAAGTGATGTCTTGTGAAAAACTTGTGCAAACATCATCCGCTGCGGGTGCGTCTGGCTCGCGCTTACTGAAGGTCCGTTTGCGCGTGTAAGCCGAGCCAATAGGATAACAATAGCCGCGCTGCTCGCCTCAAGGGGAATATCACTGCTAATGAAAAGTATTAATATAAATACAGAGGTGTCAATATCGAGAGCAGGGAGGGAAAAACTTCTTTAGGTTGTTAATACAGTTCTGGGTTACAAGGAAAATATTTGCTGAACATGAACCTCGGAGCGTTGGGGAAAATATGTTAAATGTGCAGTCAGGTTTTTGGAAGATAACAAGGTGATATACTGACATCTACAGGTTTAAATATCCAGCTTCTGTCCTCTCTTGAAAATAAAGGTTCCAATTGGAAAAAAAAGCTGACTTACGGGCTGATGCTATAAAGGAGAACATTTTAAAGTTCCACATTTTTTATTCTTTAGTACTTTGGAGAACCTAGCTATATTGAAACAGAGGTCTTGATAAAAGAGGAACCATTAAAGAACCTTTATTTTTAAGTGTGATACTTAACATGAATTTAGAATAAAAGTGACTGACAAAATTTCTACACATTTTTTTGTGCAAACCATCTTACCTCTCAGTACCTATAAAGTCTAGAGATTTTTCTTTTTCAATCTTTTCAATGGACACAGTACATAGCATGTGTCATTGTGCAGATGTTGGATCACATGCAATTATTTCAGTGCACTGTCTTGTGCACAGTGTTTTTTTCAGCTGGACTGTGAACTGATTTTGAATGAAAATCCCTCATTGGGAGAGTTAATTATAGCATGATGCTGGTTTCACAAAGCATGAGTGTTGATTAGGATCTCATGTAAGAATATTGAACCCTTACAGTATCTCTTAAAATTGAACATAACATGTTGACATGTTTTTCTCTAAATATCGATTGTATTTTCAATTTCAATTTTCAACATGTAAAAGTTGTAAACGTTTACCTCGAGGTCACTGGTCACTGCATGTCACTTTTAGATAAAGTTGGTTGTTATTTTATATTGATGATGATGATACCAATAATAATAATAAACTTAAAATTTTCTTTTCTGTTACTAATTTACATTGCTATATAGTGTTGATTATTTTCCTGACATTTCCTAGCAATAAAACAGAAGGCACCCCCAAAAGAATAAAAAATAAGTTTCTCTCTGCGGAAAATATGTAATAAATCAATCCTATGGAATTTCTCCACGCGAGTGCCCATTCTTAAGTCTTGTGTAATTGTCATGAGATTTATATGGCTTGTGTCGGCTTGGTTTTCTCCACAGGTCTCGTCAGAACCCAGGAAAGGTACGGCATAAACGGCAAGCTCTGCAAGACATGGCCCGGCCTTTGAAACAGTGGCTCTACAAACACCGGGACAATCCGTACCCAACTAAAACAGAGAAAATCCTTCTTGCGCTTGGCTCACAAATGACACTTGTGCAGGTAAGTTCATTTCCCACAACTTTTCCATACACGTATTACCAAGAGCTACTAGTTCTTGACAGAAGGATTATTAAAATGACAGTTTTCTTTTACACTGAGATGAAAATGCAGGTGTTCATTCCAAACACAAGTTGCAACCAACTCACATTTGCTTTAGTGAAGGCTTTCTTTTTTTATTGTTTAGCCTATATATCTAAAAATTCAGAGACATTCTGGCCTGTTTAACTCTTCACATATGTGTTTTCCAGTCCATGCTGAGCGATGGTTTGTGTGTACATATCTGTCTCAGTCTGTGTCTCTATATACATGAAGACATAAACATGTTCTCTAAATTTGTTAGGAATTGGCCCAGCCTGAAGATGCTATTCTGGATGACCCTACAAATTTAATCTGGTTCTAATATTCATGAAAAGGACCCATTTGTTAAAAAATGTGAGCAGACTGCACTGCAATATGGGAAAAAAAGACTTACAAACACAAAACCTATGCTCAATTTCAGTGAATAAATAATCTTACGTGACTGAACAAATCTTGAACATCCCCAGACTTTAGTACCTAAGATACACCTGGACTTTTCTCATTGCTAGAGTGCTTTGCTACCACGTGCTACGATACTCAATGCTTCCTTCAAAAACTGGCCTCCGTTGACCTGTTTAAAGTGTACCTTTGAGAACTTTATATAAAGCAGAGGTCAGGAAACTCAGGGCTTGAATAACATTTTTAAAGCACAATGCCTGCATAAGTGGCTTGAAGTGTATCAGGCATGAAAAGTTTTCCTAGTATAACATCTAATGGTCTCTGGTCTCTGTGAAATGGAGAAGGCTGGGTTAAATATTGTTTTTATTGCAAAAAGACAGACGTCGGGCAGAGGAAAAGGAATATTATTAGGTGAGAGTGGCAGAGGCCAGAATAAGCACCCAGGTCGTCATCGTCTCAGTTGAAGAAGACTTAATGTTATGTTACATTCACAGTGTTCCTGGGATATCTGTGTGTGGCATCAGCCTGCTATTTTTAATAGTTTTCATAGTGTATAAATAAAGCAGTGTATGGGTCTTTTAGTCCAAAAACACATCTAGGTATGGAAGACAGTAGGAGAGAAAATCTGAATCAATAAAAGATACAGGTTAAACTGAACTTTTGGGTCTTTTTTTAAGCATTTATAATTCCTTTGATTTATTGATCAGACTTTCCTGAGTACCATTCCAACACCCTCCCTCTTTTCTCAGGTGTCTAACTGGTTTGCAAATGCTCGACGGCGGCTGAAGAACACAGTTAGGCAGCCTGATTTGAGTTGGGCCCTTAGGATCAAACTCTACAACAAATACGTCCAGGGCAACGCGGAAAGACTGAGTGTCAGCAGCCATGACTCCTGCTCTGATGGTACGACACTCTCTCATGCTCGCACACACAATCACACAACTGAGCCTAATTATTCTTACAGTGCTTATGGATACTTACCAAAAACACACATTCACATTCACAGAAGTGCCAAGGCTGAATATGACACTTAACCAAGGATATTTAATATTGAACAATGTTGGGGACCAAATATTAAGTTTAACAATCTGTAATTGAAAAACTCATATTGATTAAATACTAATGAGAAACGTGGAGGGAATGTATCACGTGGTGATTATAGTCCTGGATGAGACGCACACTTAAAGGAATAGTTCACCCAAAAATAAAAATCCTGTCATGATTTACGCACTGTCATTTCATTCCAGCCTGTTATTATTTTCTTTCTTCTATTGAACACCAAAGAGGATCTCTTAAAAATGTCTCTGTTTTTTGGCTATACAATAAAAGGCAGTAGGGTCTAATGTTGGTTTGGACTCCACTGTCTTTTATTGTATGGACAAAAACAGTTGCAACATTCTTCAAAATATCTTATTTTGTGTTCATCAGAAGAAAGTCAGTCATTGAGGGTGATTAAATGATGAAATAATTTTCATTTTTGGGTGAACTATTTTACCAATGTAAAGTTTAACCGTTGGTCATTTAAAAAAGCTTATTGATCAAGCACCAATAAGAAAATTGGGGGAGAATGTGTCATCCCCAATGTTTGTGGTTGTTATGGTCCAGGATGAAATACACACACACACACACACACACACACACACACACACACACACATACACCTAAAGGAATAGTTCACCCAAAAATGAGAATCCTGTCATGATTTACTCATCTCTATGACTTTCTTTCATCTGTCGAACACAAAAAAAAAGAGAATCTTGTGGGGTTTTTGGTCCATAAAATAAAAGTCAATTGGGTCAAATATTGTTCTGGACCCAACTGTCTTTCATTGTATGGACAAAAACTGTTACAACATTCTTCAAAATATCTTCTTTCTCAAGTCAGTTTCTGACTCAATAGCACTTGAGAGTTTCAGTTGATTATCTATGTTTTACTGAAGACATACAAGACAAAAGGTGTGCTGAAAACAACAAGGACAAGTCAAGAGATAAATAACAGTAATGATATTTCTTCTCTTTTTTTTTTTTTTTGAAACAAAAGGGTGAGGTGAGGGTGAGTAGTAAGCTAGTAAACTATCCCTTTGAGAAGGTGCATATGTAGTCAGACATGTACATCATGTGTTGCACAGATATTGCAATAAACACTGTTCATCACTGATTTAAGTATACACACACACACACAGTGCAATTAATACTGCTCTTTAAAACAAACAAGCACAAACAAATTCATCTATCCTGGTGCTAAATTTGTGTGGTATGAAGTGTTGTGGTATTTATAAGAAACTGGGGTTTTATACAGCATGTAGCTGAAACAGACCAGACAAGACGCTTAAACGCGGATGTTTTATTACAATGCAGTCAGTGCAACACTCCAAACATTTTTATAGCATCGTATAGCAGCCAAGCCATAAATCAGGGTCGGGGTATGTCGAGTGCAGTGCTCCTCTGTGTTTAAGTTAACTGGACAGACGCGTAGGCTTACAGACAGTCATGCACTCTGTGATTAACACACCACAATGGGGCGTCAGGACTCAACCACAAACACTCGCACACAATCTTGTGCTTACATGCACAAACACAAAAACATCCTAGGTAACTATCTAAAGTTCTCTCTTTTTCTTCTCTCTTTCTCTCTCTAATTCACACGCTAAGGCGTTACAACTGAAGTGATGTTGCTAGCTGTCTGACAGACTGCATGTTTGTTGGCCACATCGCTTAGCATAAGCATCCGCACACATCCCCCTGTGCTTAACAGTGACCTCCAAACACACACACTCTGTATTAGATGATTAGATGTCTTGGATGAGGACACACACTCTGTGGTTAAAAGAGGAATGCCCAGACCGTGCCTCTCACATCTGTCTCATCCTACAAATAACTTCCTTCTTTTCTTACAGTGGAGAATGGCACAGAAACTGTGTCAGCAGCTAGCATAACCTTTGACCTCAAATTCCCTCATTATCAAATCTAAACCTGCCATATAATTTATGCGCAGAACTTAAAATGAAAAATGATTGTGTCAACACTTCCGGAAGTGTATTGATAACTAGTTCAATCATGACAACTCTCTGAACATTTTAGCATGGTGATGTTAATGTATTTGGTCTTGGCGGAACAGATCTGCTACGCTGCTGCTGAATTGCTGCTGCTGTTGGTTATTGCTGTAGTTGTAGATTATTGCTGCTGCAAGCAAGTACAGGATCTTGCTACTGCCAATGCATATGGCGATACGGTGCCGTGAGTATTTAAGACATGCTGCTGCTGCACAAATAGCATATAAAATAAGCCCGTAGCAGATCTATACAGGTGGAGCTGGGGAAGGTGGAGGGTTTCAGAGAACTCTGAAAGCGCGCTGCAGGAATCTCAAGTGAATGCTAGCCAGCCATATAAATGCAAGGCAGTAAGCTCATTGGCTGCATATGCAGCATGAACCAATCAGCTTGTGCCAAGTCGTTTAACTCTCTGAATATCATCAGTTACGTTAACACCCCGTCAGAACATCAGAGTTTCATGACTGAACTATATATTTATGTTGGTATGGGTAAAGTTTTTGATGCGCTAAACCTTTTCTCTTTTAAAAAATCTATAGAAAATTCACTTTTTAAACATTTCCAGAGGAAAATATGTCTTTCTCTACATTTTTGTATTAGCTCTTGTTCAGAGCACACATAGAGAAAAGCAGAGAAAGATTATATTGACATGTTTGAGTAAATAATAAACATGAAAAAAAATTCATTGCGTCATGTTAAATGATAATTAACCTCATTGACCCCCAATATTCAATGTTGTACTGCTTTATTTATATTTAAAGAAATTAGGGGAGAACTGTTTAGATGTAAAAGAGTGCCGTACTATAAAAAAATGTGCTTTTTATGTTTATTTCTTCTGATGTTGGGGTTGATTTTGTGACCTGTTTTCTGTGAGATTCACCAAAATATTGTGAGCCATGATTATACAGAACATCATGTAACATCATACAAGTTGTTTACTATGCATATGAAATGTCTAGCTGTTTAGAGGGAACATTTTGTTGCACAGACGTTTCATCAGGTCTGTCATTCCCGTGTCTGAGCTCAGTAATTATGTGCTACAGAAGATCTGAGCTTCAGACACACTCTTCACACATTTGAGTCAAGATAGAGCCTTGCAGTGAAATCCTAGCTCACTTAGGAGGCATTCACTCACGCAATCCTAACCCCTTATCCTAGGAAATATTGCATTTGTGTGAACTCCAGTGTTTACCTTTGTTTCCTACATTATGGAATGGTTGTCAAGGTAGTACACAATACGGGTGCACTAAAACAATCTTGACTAAAAAAAAGTTGACTTTTTGTGAGCAATGTGGCTCTGCTACACTGAAAAAAAAAAAGTAATTTGGGCCATTGATCTTCAGTAAATCAAAATCAACAAGGAATCCACACACCTAGTTAAAAATGAAATTGGTGATTCAAAGGAACATGAACATTTAAGTCGATGATTATATACATGTGGCAAAATGTTCTGAAGACCAGAAGGACAAGTCAAGAGATAAATAACAATGGTGGAACTGCAAGTGCTAAATGTTCTAATTGTATTCTGCAACAAAAGTATTAACTTCCTTGGAATTGTGACATTAGTGGCAATGTCAACAGGGAGGAAACATTTTGGACCATCCCTTCTGTTGTATTGCAAACAACATTAATGCCCCTGATAGTTTTCCTTCAAAAATGAACAAACAAAGTCTCACAATAAAACATGTCAGCGTCTCTTATTTATGTTCTTTAATGAATCACTGATGGGACTACAGGTGGCTAAGCAAATAATAAGAGATGAATGATTGGGTGTTCTTACAGAATGATCAACGGAAAGGAAAGATCAACTGAACACACTCTCTCCAAGGCTGAGATATGACATTGGAATGTCCGAAGGGTTTTTTTCCCGTTGATGAGAAAGTTCATACTTTTATTGGTTTTGTTACCAAAAAGCAGAATGAAATCAGGCGATTTATCACTTGCAGTTCTACAAAAGTTTTTTTATCTCTTCACTTGTCCTTGTGGTTTGTAGTATTTTAGCAAAAATAACAGACAACTCCGTACCATGATTAATGGACATCATACGGTTGTCACATTTACCCTTCAGTCTAGAATAAAAGCTGTTACTGTGTGAGAGTAGATAAATCTATATAGTCAAAACAATCCATTGGTCCTAGTAAAACCTGTTCACATTCAAAAGTCGGTAAGATTTTTTATTATTTTAAAATAAGTCTCTTACACTCTAAAAAATGCTGGGTTAAATACAACCCAGTGCTGGGTAAAATAGGGACAAACCCAGCAATTGGGTTGTTTTGACCCAGCGGTTGGGTTACTACTCAGAAGGTTGGGTTAAACATTTAACCCAACCGCTGGGTCAAACAACCCAATTGCTGGGTTTGTCCCTATTTTACCCAGCACTGGGTTGTATTTAACCCAGCATTTTTTAGAGTGTATGATCACCAAGGCAAGGCTGCATTTATTTGATCCATAATAATAAAAAAAAAATAATAATAATACTGTGAAATGATATCACAATTTAAATAATAGTTTTCTATTTGAATCTATTCTAAATTGTCATTTATTCCTGTGATGGCAAAGTTAAATTTTCAGTAGCCATTATTCCAGTCTTCAGGGTCACATGATCCTTCACAAATCCTTCAAATATGATGATTTACTGTTCAAGAAACTTTTCTTATTACTTATTCTTATTACTGTTGAAAACAGTTGCTCCTTAATATTTTTTTGAAACCCTGATACTTTTTTTTTTCAAAATTCTTTGATTAATAGAAAATTCAAAAGAACAGCATTTAACATAGAAATCTATTGTAACATTATAAATGTCTTTACGGTCACTTCTGATTAATTTAATTTGAATACAAGTTTTAATTTCTTTAAAAAAAAAAATCACCAAACCACCAAACTTTTGAATAGCAGTATATTCATTCTTGTCCACCTGTTGTTATTTGTTTGCTTGTTTGTTTTGCTTTGATTTTGTTTATTTGAAGCACTAAAATTTTTCCTTTTTTTGGACTTTCTCTTTTTTTTTTCTCCCTTTTAGTTTATCACATGTATATTTTAAATATTTATAATTCATATTTAGCATACATGTATTTTATCTTCTGTAAATATAATCTTGGACTGTGTCTTGAAATGTTTTTATTTTATTTAAAAAAAATTTTTTTTGATATACTTTCTCAAATTATGCCATGCTAGTCTAAAAGATTCAGATCTTCTTTAATTCAGCCTCTGTAGCACAAATCGGTCTCTCATCACCAAATTTGATCTGACACACTCACTTGCAGTTGGGAGGCCCGTGTTTTCAAGGAGTGATATCCAGTCAAGAGTTTTCAATGTGCCGGAGGGGTCATGCAGAAGAGAAGGGGGATTAAATGAAAATGTGACCGTGTCTCTCCCTGCTGAGATGGTGTAAAGGGCAGGAGATCAAAATATTGACTTTTTGTAGTTCAGTACTTTTTCTTTTGCAAATGTCTTTTCAAATGTGTATCGACATATTTGTATGTATTCTGCATCACATCCAGATGGTGACCCAGCAGCACGGGCCCAGGTCGGGGAGTTCAGTAAGCCAATGTACCACAGCGTCATCAAGAAGGAAGGTGGCGCTGTAGGTGCGGGTCTTCGAGCCGCTGCAGACGCCTCATTGTCTGATGACTATGTGTCACCGCCCAAATACAAGAGCAGCCTGTTGCACCGTTACCTTAACGACTCACTCCGTCATGTAATGGTGGCCAATGGCGTAATGGACGCAAGGAGGAGGAACCACTCAGGCTCTTTCAGCTCTAATGAGTATGATGAAGACCTGCTGTCACCGTCTTCTTCTGAAGCAGAAGCCAACTTTATCTACAGAACTGGTGAGCTGCTGCCAGTCTTACATTCTTTCCTTGTCTGTGTCTGTCTCTCTCACTATTTGTGAGGAAGAAGGGCATCTTGAAGCTGTTTCATCAGCCCAGTATCAGCTGTGTTTTGGTCTATGTATTATTTTGGCTTCTTGTTCTACAACAAGGAGAGTCACCGAGGGGTCATATGTTTTCTCTATTCTCTATTCTACACATACACATAGTTCTATAAATCATTTCATTTCAACCTGACATTTGTAAATATTATGAAATACGTTTTTAATAGTATGAAAATACTAGTAAGTTTAAAAATATTGCAGTTCAATAGCTCAAAGGATGTGTGCTTTTTATATTAAGCTTTGTACTTTTGATAAAACGTTTAAGGTCATGGAAGTTCAGATTTGAACTTGCAATGAAACAGAACATACTGTAGTTTTTAATCAAAAGAGAGTTTGTGAGGGAAAGATATGTTTGTGTGTTTTTGCAAGTGTAGAAGTGTATATCGACTTTAGGGTTAAAGATGCCAGAGGCCTAAGTGTGTGTGTGTGTGTGTGTGCGTGTGGAACATAATTTTCTGAGTCTCTGTCATGTCTGAAGTGAGCCAAACTCTGACCTAAAGAATTTTCTCTTTAAGTCTTTTCTATTGTGTATCTCAAACATAACCACGTTCCACCTCATGGTAGTTTGATACATAACATAGGTCTCTATAGAAAGTCCAAATGTCTCTTTAGGGGTTTCAGCTTTAAAATTATGCAGAACATTTCTGAGGTTTTTAAAACGACTTATGAAAGAACAATTATATATATATTTTGTAAATGTTATCATTTTAAATGTGATTCAATAGGTGATGTGCACAGACATGTTTTTGCAAGGAGGCAGTAAAGGCTTTTACATTGTTACAAAAAAATTCAATTTTAAATAAATACTGCTTTTGAACTTTCTATCATGAAAGAATCCTGAAAAAAAAAATATATATATAAAGTAAAAATCAGTTTCCAAAAAAATATTAAGCAGCACAACTGTTTTCAACATTGATAATAATGAAAAGATTTTCTAGAGCACCAAATCAGCATATTAGAATGATTTCTGAAGGATCATGTGACACTGAAGACTGAAGTAATGGCTGCTGAAAATCCAGCTTTGCCATCCCAGGAAGAAGTTAAATTTGACAGAATTGAACAGTAGTTTTGATCAAATAAATGTAGCCTTGGTGAGTATTAAAAAACTTCTTTCAAAAACATTACACAATCTTACCGACCCCAAACTTTTGAACGGTAGTATACTTGTATTATTTAGTGATAGTATTTGGAAAATAAACAGCTTTAGTTTAATAGTAATTAACCATTTTTGGCCATTTTCTCCCAATTTCTTCATTGCAGGTGCTTGATAATGACTTTATCCACTGTCTAGAGCTTTCGCCTAACCCAGGATTTCTCATTTACCAAAAAATAAAAAAATAAAGGCAAGCTCTGCCAAAGTTTCGGCCTCTCTAGCTCATCTGTTTAAGGTCAGCGTTAGTTCGGAGTCTCTCGGTAGGAAGCGTCTGCAGTCCTCACAGTCAGCTGTGTTTGCTCCCATGTGCTGTTTAAGTCCTCCAGGTGTTTGTGATGTTATCGCAAATCTTTCAGACATTCCAAAATGACAAATATGTTTCAGGAGAGTTCTGGCAATTATTTAAGCCCTGTTCATCATCATCTGGAAGAATGTCAGCATCTATTGATCAGTCGTAGGAATTTATGTGAGATGCTGTGTCTGCGACTAAGGCCTTCGAGCGCTTGTGTTTGCTCTCTCTTCTCTTCGAGAAAGAGTTTCTTCAGGTCAGATCACTGCATCTTTGTCTTGACAGAATTCATAACTGATAACATTGTTTGCTCTTCACTTCTTCGCTTACATCAAGCCTTGGGGATCTCACCATGCAGTCTTTGTTTTACTTTGTTTCTCATTTCATTTTGCCATTTCTTACTGACAAACATGGTTTGCATTATCTCAGGGCCGAGGAACAGAACGCTGGAATTCTCTTCAAACCCAAAAGCTGCTGCTAACTACTTTCTGGACTGGTGTTTAAACTCCCTGTGCTCTATATGACACAAGGCTGCTTATGTAGACATCTGCTGAGACAGACAGAGGGAAAGAGTTTTGGTGTACTTTGTTGCTTATTTCAGCTTGAATCAGTTCTTCCAAAACACTGTTTATACACTTAAAGAATATTTATGAGTTATGTGTTTTTTCTCGGCTTTCATGGTAAATACCATTTCCTGGCTAAGGATTCTGATGGCTTTGTCAGGTAGATGAAGTGTCTGCTTGTCAGTTTGCAGATGAGAATTTGCCAGATGAAAAGTTTAACACATGATCACACACAGCAACATTTGCGTTGATATTGAATTTGTCATTCAATCCTGTTGCTGGTTAAAAGGGGTTTGTACTGTTTCCTCCTAAGATTTCACTCTCTCTTTTTTCCCTCCCTGTTGAAAAAAAACAGCATATGCTGGTTAGGTATCTTTTGAAGCATGACAGCTGGTTTAAGCTGGTCCTTAGTTGGTCCCAAGCTGGTCCTAAGCAACTAGCTCCTGCTCAGGACCAGCTCATAACCAGCTTACAACCAGCTCAGAACATGCTCAGTATATGCTGTTTTTTTTTTCAACAGGGCTGCTCTTCTCTTTCCTTCCACTTTCTTTCTTTCTACATTCCAGAAAATTTTCATATAAATATTCCTCAAGTTTCTGACTAATATGGCGTGAGGTTGAAATTTTAGATCTATGGTCTATGTTTTTTTTTTTTAAACAGCTGTCTGTCTGTCTCTGAACTGTGTTAGCCAAATATGCTAATGTTTTAGCTCAGACATCTTTAAACCAAAGTGGCATCTCAGAATACAGTGGTTAAATGTAGCTTAACGGAACAAATTGGATCTAAAAGAGCTCTCTCCTCACTTGAAGTTTCACAGATCAGACGTGGCAAAGGAGCCATCAGGCCATCAAAGCCTCTGATGGAAAACTAAAGAGGCTATTGTGTAAGAAAAATACGAAATAAAACGCAATGGGAACCCTGATGGGAGTTTCATTGAAAACAAGAAGTGAGAGAATTCCAGGGTACATGCCAGGGATTTTATGTCAAATTGCTCTTTAATGGGATATTTAATGGCAGAAATCTCGCTCAGTGTTTTCCCTGCATGCGTGGTACTGGGCTTAGGGCCGTCCTGTATGATATAGATCATATGCCGCACTGCCAGAGTGGATGGGAGCTTGCACTAAAGTGAGAGCATGCAGGAAAATATTTCTCAGAACTTTGTCCAACGCTTTAGATGTATTTTCACAGGTTGGATCAGGGGCTGGTTGAAAGTGAAAGTGCATCACATGGTACATAAACTGGCTGCTGCACCATTTATTCTAGAGCGACATGTTATTTATCCTCATATTGCTTTCAGCAGGATCCTTGTGATCCAGTTATTGTAACTTATGTGTCATTTGAGGAGTTTATGAATATATTATGATATTATGTTTCAGTGAACTGAAATTAATGAGATAAAAGTCATATATATCTCAATACTTAAATCTGACTTTGAGGGTTTTTGGTACTTCTGCCTATTACACCCGTTCAAAACGTTTAGGGTTTAGTAAAAATTTTTCTTCTTTATTTATTTATTTGGAAAGAAATTAGAAAAGAAATATAAAAAGAAGAAGTTCTTTATATGTTTGCTATCATTAATGTAAGTTAGAAGTCATTAATTAAAAATTTTTAATGTAAAAAATTTTGGTAAGGTTTTCTTTTTCCAATCTGTCTTTTTGCTGTGCTTTATGTATGTTAGCCGTGCACTGTGGGACATATTTCTTCACAGAACCAAGAATGTCACCTGTGTTTTACGACATGAAAAGACCTTCTTTTTCAAGGTCAGTGGACATTAAACAGAGGCAGGAGGCAGAAATATGTTAAATGAAAACAGAAAGGCTTGACAAGGCCACCGAGGCTCATAGGTGCCAGTCACTCATAGGAGTCCTGCAGACTCATTGGACTGAAGCCACCAAAAGAAAATGCTTTAAAAGTCATTGTCCAAGAAAAGTACAATCTCTCCAACTCAAAAACATTAGAGCAGATTTCAGGCCAGCCTCACCACGATCAAAGGCAGGTGGGCAATTCATCCAAGCCTAAACATGCAACAGAGTGGGAGCACGTAAATTCAGGCATTATTAATGTGCAGGGCCTGCTGTTCATCAGATGATTGACAGCCCTCTGTGTGTACAGCTGGAAATACACGGCACACTTTTATTGCTGTTTTTGCACAGTTGTACTACACATCCAACCACATACAGTACATAAAAACATTGAGAGTCTGATGCCATTAAAAAACTTGAAAGTCTCTCTTTCTCGTAAAGCACAACAGGCTTTGGCTAACATATTTTAGTGTTGTTTGACAGTGACATACAGTGCAGGGGAGAGAAACAGCCTGACAGGGATATGGCATTTAAAGAGTACATGCTGAACTGCCTGATTTATGGTATCTGACTGCTCACTGACCACAGAGCCACAGGACAATGACTGATCCAGCTCTACTATGCACATCTCAAATGGCAGAAAACGTTTATGAAAACATCTCTATTTCATTTCGATCGTCAAAACTGTAATATTAAGCTTCACCATTAGATTTTATGTTGTTTTAGTACACGCTCAGAAAAAAAGGTACAACAGCTGTCACTGAAGCGGTACCCTTTAAAAAGGTACAAATGTGCACTCTTTATGTGCAAAGGTATAGCTTTTGAAAGGGTACCGGCCCAGTGACAGCTTTTGTACCTTTATTTTTTTATTATTTTATTTTATTTTATTTTAGAGTGTAGTAAATATTCTCATATATACACACTTGTGAATGTGTAGTTGAGGTATAACATGCCCAAGGCCTTTTTTAATCAACACTAAAACCATTGGTTGAAATATAAATTAATTTATAAGGTAAATTCTATATTTTAGGTCCTGTATAATACAATATAATAAATATAATAACAAAATGCTGTTTAAACAGTTTTACA